TGTCCGCCGTTCTTCGACATTCAAACTGGATTACTAGCTCAAATAACTTTTCCAATGTCGTCGGATTCCTTGATTCAATAAAGTCTTGTACTTGGGGAAGTAACCTAGGCAAAATGACTTGTATTATTTCAGGATCCGGCCGGCTTCCATACAAGAGCTTAAAGACGTGTATTTTTCTTAAAATAAAGCTTGAGAGATTTTCGATTCGTTGTCTGGTATATGCTGAAGAGTTCCGCTTCCTAAAATTTGGCACGATTTCTTACGAACAGGGAAGGCCTTTTACTAAGGCAGTTCTTGAAATTTTCCTAAGTATAGGTGGGACTTCCTGCAATTGACCCAAGAGCTTTTCTTCCTATACATTTGAACCAATTAAGCGCTTGGCCCCTCAAAGCGCTGGTAGCTAAGGTGACTTTCTCGAACTCATGGACTGGATATAGCACGAAGTGGTCATCCAATTTTTTAAAAAAAATTGGTTACCGGTGAGTTTCCGTCAAAGCTTGCTGCTGGTTTCATCGCTGCGCGATGGTCTGGATGATGTAACCAAATCCTTCCAGGGCGGCAGCTGGCATTCTGGATTCTGAGCCGCTTCTGCAGGCACAGGTTCTTCTTGAAACTCGCCATGGTATTCTTCTTCGTCGGGCGCCACTATCAGGTTCAATGTTCCGCCTTACTTGCTTGGGAACATTCAAGAACCTGACTCGGAACAGGGAGCTTACTAAAGCTATGCAAAAATGTGGGAAGTAGACAGATACACAGGAAGGTTATACGAACCCTTTATTTTTTCACTCTTTACAATGGTTTCCGACTTCGGAATACAGAGACCAACCACTTGTGGTCTGAACGTAAGAATATAAAAATATAACTAAACTCTAACTTAACTTTGGAATAATAAACAAGGGCCTACGTGGAGATTGGCCGTTATTTAAGAGAGGCCGTATGTAGTACAGAGAACTGAACACTACAATACGTTTAAAATTATCAAGAGGATTAAACCTCTGGCCTGAAGGCAACCAGCAACTGAGTAAAACTGCTAAGGCTAGCGGCCTGCTTCGACAACTCCTCCTCTCTCTTGCTTGGCAAAAAGCCAAACTTAATACTTGGCGTTCTCCAGACAAATTTTGCTAAATAAGTTAAAGCTTTTAATTCTGGCCGGAAGTAGAAAATAAGAAGTGATAGTAAAGATTAAAAATAAAATAAACGTTAGTAAAACTTAAGATCCTTACAAGTGTACTAATCAAAGGAGATCATATCCCATATTATAATTCAAAAGTTCTATTTTTTTCAGTTCTTCTCTTTATTTCCCCCCTGAACTCTTCTTGTAACATCTTATTACCATTTTTAGTGTTTCCTGCTACAGGTTTCTATCCCATATGCACAGTTCTTAAAATTTTCCTTTCTATTTATGTGTTACTATTCCACTAAAATTCATAAAAGGTTTTTAGAAATCCTAGTTTTCATGCATATATAGATAGTTTTGGACTTGATTATAGAATTACTTGTTGTAGGAGATAAATTAATGGAAGTTAACTAATTGCTAGATTAGAGTTTTTAATATAATATTTTCTTTAGCAAGATTAAATTGCGTGAAAATATAAAGGATAGCGATCTGCAACACAGTCTGACTTCAGAGTTTCTTACAAAATTTTAAAATTTTTTACTATTGGTAATGGTACGTTATAGTCGGAGATTCATCTACCGACCATTATGATCTATATGAATAGCAAACTAAACGAGATACTATTTTAAATTACAACAATTTTTTTAAATTTAATTTCTGCCTTCGCTAATGTTGAATTTGTTCAGAAGAAGTATTTAAGTAATACTTTTATTACTTAAATGTCTTTATTATACAGTACTTGCGACTGCATTTTATATTACTGAAATATATTGCCAGCATTTTACATTTCGTCTGTTGCGTTTTAAAAATTAAAAGAAGTTTCCAAATTACTCTGCTTTGTTTAGAAAGAACTGCGATACTAAACTGGTATCGAATAATTACGATATTAAAATAACATGAATTTTTAAACTGCATTTGATGCGAAAGAGCTAATTATTAAATGCTTTAGATTTTTCGTCTAAAATTGTTAATAACACATTGGTACTTAAAATGTTTTGTAAACAATTAAGATTATTCAATATCTGAGTTAAGATAACACATAGAACAACAATTATTGCAGATAAAGCAACAAGAACCAACATAATATTCATAAATTTGGAGGCCTAGTTTCAAAGGTTTAAACATAGAATTTTCTTCTTCAGCTGCCTCTTTCTTGTCCTTTGTTTTTATCAGAATGTTGTTGTTTTTATCTGAATTTTAAATAATAAATTATTATAGCATATGATTATATTAACTGATAAGAACAAAAGGAGGAGAGGTATCTGCATAAGGAGATATAAAACATAACAAAATATAATGAAATTACACTTTGGATTTATTTATTAAATAAAACCTTCCTCGACAATCGGACAACGTTAATTACGAAATGATAGTCTAATTTATAAATTTGAGTAGGATTAAGGAGATAAAAGCGGGCAGAGGGGTTATGGATATACCTTCTACTCGATAAAATAGAATTCTAATATCATGTGTCGATTTATTTCAATACCTATAGGTCTAAAGAGAGAAATGTGATTCTATAGGAGATGTTGAGAAACTTTGAAAATGAAACATGGAAGCATGATACTTCAGCGGTTATCGTTGAAAAATGGGATGTGCCAGACAAAATTGGTTCTGTGATAGGCAACGAGCCAAATGCTGCTGTGAAACATATGGAGATGGATGGAACATACAATTCTGCTGCCAACTTCGCAACACTCCTGACTTTAGCATCTTTGATTTAGGATTATAGCACAAACATTGCAATTCTAAGTTGCGCCTATGAACATAGACCAGTTTATTCATGATGTTTATACCTCACTTAATTTGTTAAATATCGAAAAATGAAACAATTCCAGTAGCTCATAAATACTTATTATACTCGTATAACAGTATCGTACTTGATAAATTATACTTTCGCCTTCAAATTACTGATAGAACAGAAAAAAAAAATTTAAATGGAGAAACCACTTTCATGCAAATAAAAAATGCAGATAGGGAGATCATTTCGATACGGTGGTAGTAATTGTTTTTAATATTAAACTTTTGACATGCCACAAAATACGTTAAAAAGATATGCTATATATAAAAAAAGTGTTTGACTCAGATATAAATTCATACCAGAAAGTTTAAAGCATTAATTAGCGTTAAAATAAAATATAGAGTAATGTTTAGTACATCAAACTAGCCAGATATGCGAATTTTAAAATATTTCAGTTTTAAGTTAATTTTTAAAATCTCCTGAAAAAATATTTTTCATTATAAATTGAAATAAAGTTACGCAATATAATGAAAGTTCCGTCATCGGAACTTTCATTAATTTATTTTATTATTATTATTTGGGCGTTCCTCCCCAAATAATAATGAAAAAAAAAAAAAAAAAAACTGATGGTAACCAATGTTTCCTTGTACGGAATATTAAATTATACACCTTTTCCTGCATTTTTCAAACTTAGTCCCCAAATTTCATAAAGATAGATTTATCAATTTCATTCAGTTTCACTTCGCGTAAGGCAAAAATACAAACAGCTTAAAAATACCTTTATTAAAAATTAATACTTTATTAAAATTTAATAAATATCTTTTTAAAGATAGATTTATCATTCAATTCATTCAGTTCTCACTTCGCAGTAAGGCAAAAATACATAACAGCTCAAAATACCTTTATTAAAAATTGAAAATATAGAAAAATATAAAACACCAAATACAGTTAAAATAATTAAAAAAACTATTTTTATCATTAAAATTAGAGTTTCTACGCAAAAACCAAGCATTCCGCCAGCGGGCAAGAAGGCAGATTTCTCGGTGCACAAAACTGAAAGTTTACTTTTGGTCACATTCGGCAAAAAGACGCTGAAGGTGCAGAAAGACTTAATTTACTATTCTGTTAAGTTTCAAATGTAAACACATATGACTGCTATGATAAGAAAAATTAGGCTTTGTTACATTTAAACAACTTTCAAGTAGTACATGCAGATTAACCAAAGGCATAAAAACCTTAACCGGGAGATAAGAATAATTCAATCATTTTTAAAGCAACAAATTCGCAATTTACCAACATATTAGAATAAAAAAGAACTGATCTCATCGAGCAAGAGTGAATATATTAGTATATATATATTGCAATTAAAAATGGAGGTGCACAACTACATATTATAGCAGTCATACATACAAAATTTCAACTTTCTGAGACTACTCGTTTTTGATTTATGCGACATACATACGTATAAACGCCAAGAAAAAAATCTGTTCAGAATCCATTTTAAATTAGCATTATAACTTGTTTGGGGAAAAATAGTCTTTTATTCTGTCTTTACATACAGATGTTACACAAAAACATCATTAAATAGCATTAGGTAGTGGTCAAAATGAACATCTTTGTTGAAACACTATACCACGCTTTGGTCGTTGAAAAAAAAAAAAAAAAAATTGAGTTTCCTCCTTATATTTCCTGAGAAAAGAAAAAAATAAATTAAACTTTTTCTCCTAAAAAAGGAACTTTTATAACATTTAACTGCTGGATTTTTTTTTTTTTTTTAAATATCATACTCCTTTTCTATTTTTATGCCTAAATGTTATTTTGTTTAAAAATATTTGCACGAATATTTATTTGCAAACACCGAGGACCCAAATATCAGCTTAAAAACTCAAACTTGTGCAAAATTTTAGCTAGGAACTCTTTACTGTTCTTTAATCTCGTCTCGGAGGAAAGCAAGTTCGCGTCTACAGCGCACAAATCGCACATCGATGATATTAATTTTTGTACACATTTCGAAATCGCCAAAAAATAGCCCTTGTGAGTCGGCATCAATCGGCTGAATTCGATGATCAGAGGGCGCAATTTGAGTGTCTTCCCCCCCCCCCGCGTAATTACCTCGATCTAAGCGCGAACCACCCACGCACGTTTTCTTCTCTTATATAGCCTATTCCTCGGCAAGCTGATACCCACAATCCGCGCTTCCATCTATTGGTCGCTGCACCTTTTCACGACAGGTGAGTTTTCTCGTTGTCTCTCAGCATTCTTTTTAGTTGCGCTCTCTTCAGAAATTAATTTTATTTCGAATCCCTTTTGTTGTTTCTTGTTTATCATAATTTTTTAAAACTCGATAAAAATTTGATGAAACTTATTTGAGCAGAAAACTTATGCGACTCTTTAAGCAGAAAACTTTATGTGTCTTTTCGTTTTAAATACATTTTAAATTTTGCGATAATGTAACTGACGGAATGAGATATATGCAACAATAACCTAAGTATGCATAGCCACTTTTACTATAAATGTACTTGTTTCAATTTTAAGTATTTTTTAAAGATGTAGAAAAGTTACATTTTCAGAGTGAGCAAAAATAAGAATAAGGCTTTTGAGCTAAAAAATATTAAAGCTAATAAATAAGGGATTGGTTTTCTTGCATGCACAAGCAAGTGATAACTTGAATTTTAAATAATAAATTATTATAGTATATGACTATATTAGCAAATGGTTATGTTAAATGATTAAGATATGGAAATTAGATGTCACAATTAATCTTTGCAATGTTTATTTTACAATAAAATTAATTGTTTCGTTTTTTAGTAACTGCATTTTTAAAAGTGTGTAAAATTTACATTTAACAGAGCGACTAGATATAAGAATAGTATTTCTAATTTAGAAATATTAAAGCAGGAAATTCTTTAATAAATTATTATATATATATTAACAAATGGATATATTAAATTATATACTATATAACAAAGGATAATAAATTATACTATATATTAACAAATGGAATATTAAATTATTATGTTGGAATAGAGCAACCATAATCTTGCATGCGGTGCTTGTTTTATAATAAAAAATTTTTAATTTTTAATGAATAAACACATTTTAAATACTTTTTAAGAATGTGCAAAATTTACGTCTTTCAGAGCGAGCGTAATAACAGTGATATTTTTAAGCAAGAAATTGGCTTTTGCATTCAAATGCCCGTTATTACTGGGAAATGAAGTAAGAAATGATTAAGTTAAATGATTATATAACGATATAAATGAATAATAACGATATTAAATGAATATATTACAGAAAATAAGTGCAACAATAAATTTTATTTACAGTGCTTGTTTTATAACTAAAAGTAATTGCGGTGGTTTAAAACATTAAATGCATTTATAGATATATTTAAGAATCGGTAAAATGTTGGATTTTTCAGAATGAGAAGTAATAAAACTAATATTAAGTTGGAAACTAGTAAAAGTAAGGAGTTAGTTGCCTTATTTGGAATTTTAAATCTCTACATATAATAAAAGGATTAAAATTAACAATTGTGTGTCTTTTCGTTCGTGCTGCGCGTAAGTTAATAGACCGAGGGCTACGAAATTTGGTACATAGGTGCATCTAGACAAGACCCAGTGCACCTCGAAGCGATTTTTTCAAAATTCGAATGGTTTTTTTTTAAATTTAATCTTTTCGATTTTATCGCATTATTTTGAATAGTTTCATTCTTTTAGAAATGTGGTTTTGGCAACAGTTTTTCCTTCATTTGTATACTGGACTGCTGACTGCTGGAAATCAGCACTGTTGCCACTTGGAAAAATGAGGGCAATAATCCTGTGCAGTTTTTAAATTTAATGTTTCTCTTGGGTACTGGACGTTTGTGGAGAGAAGGCAACGGGAAGTTGGTTAATTTATTTATTAGGATAATTAATATTTGTATTAAGGGATATTGCTTATTTCATTGTAATTGTGTTATATACAATACTTTTTTTATGAAATTCTGCGCAGTTTTTAAATTTAACGTTTGGTATTCCCTTCAGGCATTTTCGGTACATTTAAAAGCCAGACGAAGGCTGGCAACGTAGCTGCTAGTTTTACATAAAATTAGGCATTTCGAGAATGTATGATAACAATAATACTTTTATTACTAAATTAGATAGTGTTGAGAATTAGGAGTTTCTAATTGCTGAAGCTTTAGCAATAAACACATATTTCATGAAAATTTCAAATTTCGTAAAATTTAGGAATTCTTGCAGCAGTCTTGCATAGAAATTAAAGTAGGGCTTCAATAATTTTTATTTACAGATATTTTACCGAAGCTTTAAAGATCCGGAATATATACTAGTTGTTTTATAATTCTTAGGTTAAGTTTCAACTTGTACGCAAAGGAAACAAATTTTGAAACAATTTTTAATTATCTAAACACTGAATGAAGATTTAGGAATCAAAATGTGGGGAGTTTCGTAAATTATTTGTGCCATGTACTAAAGAAATCAAAGCTTTAAAACAAAACTTAAATTGTAAAATTCATTATAGACTACTGAAAGAAAAAATATATTTAAATAGGCTTTGCAAACATAATTCTTTATAATGAATAAAATATCAGAAAGATAATTCTGAGCATTTAATTTTAGCTTTTGAATTTACAATTATCACAGTGTCCAGCAAAATAAGTTAAATCTTCAGATTGCTGTACTCATAATAATAAAGTATATTTTAAGTCTTAGAAATTTTGGAGGCGTACAATATATCTGAAAAAAGTTTTAACTAAAATTGCAACGAATAAAACAATTTGAATATTATACATATTTACAGCAAAATAATTTTTCAACTCCTCTGTAGAATTTCAGAAAAAGTTTTTGGGTTTATTTAATTATGGCAAAGCACACTAGGGCTATCTGCTCAAGGGTAGGGATGCCTTCGTGGAGGACTTTCTAAGGGAAACTGGCTCGTATAGACGTTACACATGGGGAAAACCACGAGAACGCCCATGCAGCCAGCCCGTTCGCGGGATTCGAACCTCGGACCGAACTACCAGTGTTCAGCGACTTTACCGCTCGGCTGCTTGTGAGCCCGAATTTCAGAAAAAGAGAACAGCTAATGTTTTTCCCAAGCAAAGTTAAGTAATATTTTCTCTTTCATTCGAATAAAAATATTTCCAAAGTCAGGATTTTGAAATTTCATGTTTAATTTCAAATGAAAAAAATGATGATTCCGTTCAAGACAAGGACAAGCAAAGATTTTTTTTGGGAGGGGGAAGGAGAAAATATAAGAAATTAACTTGTATCTGAAATTTCATAATTAGCTGATTTTCATTAAATTATTTATTTATCTGCCATTTATTAAATTTTAATATTCATTCAATATGCTCTAAGTATGTTAATTTCACCGAACATGGAAATCAGCAAGATTTTAAATTAGAAGAACTAAAAATGACTTGTACGTTAAAAACTTTTATTTTCCCAGATCTTGCATTTATGTATCGTACATACACGTTATAAAGAATAAAATTGGATAATATACTTTTATCAAGCTGATTCATTCAACAACTCATGATACTTTTGCTCTGTTTAACGGTAATGAAGAAAGTTCAAATAAAGTTCTCTTAACAAGGAAATCCACCGTTGCTGAATTCTTTTCCACTCCTCGACATTTTAGCCATACGAAATGACTCGAACTTTAGTACTACTGTCTATCATAAATCTTCAGTTGTTTGCCTTCAACTACCTTTAAAATTCTATCATTCGAGTAAAAAAATGTTGCTTCAATTTATTCTTTCGTTTTCCATGCAATCTATGTATGTTTGTTGTTGATCAAGAACTAAACTATAAAAAGAAAATGCAACTCACATACGCTTTTTTCCCAGTATCAAGTTTTTTTTATCTAACATAAAGTTAAAGTTTTATCTAAACATTAAAAGCCTTTTTTATATTTTGGCAGATTATTATTAGTCCAAAGGGGCTTTGTCCCTGAAGGACTATTGTTTTCGTTTGCGATTTTGCGTTGAATCACTATAAATGTCCGTTTCACTTTTCAAACTGTTTGCCACCCAATGTTAGAGTCCTCATATATTTTGATAAATTAAATAATGAAAAATCTGCATAAATGTATGTTTAATTTCTCGCATTGTGATAAAACAACGGTACATAAAGCCATCGAATTTTGAATGACGTAATCCTCCACCGAATATGGGCATGTGGAAGAACAAATTTGAAATTTGGAATTTGTTTTATTATCGGTTTCATATTTTGTAAAACTTTAACGAATTTTTGAGTAATAAACTCAACGATTTAAAAGAGAGCAATGGCAACACTCTACGGGAGGAAAAATCTCCAGCGAATCTTTTTATCTCCAGCGGGCGCGGAACTGTGTATCGGAAATTCTAAAGATGTCCTCATTTTAAAATTATTTTGCGATATGCTTATGTGCGAAGACCATGATATTTAATAAATAAAGGTACCACAAAATGTAAAAAAAAAAAAAAAAAAAAAAAAAAAAAAACCCTCTCTTTTAGACGTAATTTAAAACCTTTCAGATTTTTTTTTTTTTTTTTTTTTTTAGAATCTGTAGTAATTCTTTTGTTTTCATCTATTAGCTTGTAATGTGTATGTTAATTTTGTTAGAAACCCGTTTCTTTCAATTCTTGTTTCCCACTTACAACTCTCTAACAGAATGAGCTTTTAAAGTCGCGTTAAATGCAAATGTGTTAGAAGTAGTATTTAAAGGAAGTTCTACTTACATCGAGAGATAAAGTGCTTAGGAGTCCTTAGTGGCTCGTGTTTGTCTTCTGGTTATTTCACTTTTGAATCTATTACGCTCGGCCGTATTGTACGTGGCTGTTGATAATCGCTGGCTAGTTTAAATTAAGGGCCGACTACGTTAGATTTTTGTGTCTAGCTTCGTCTAAGTCTATTATAGTTAGTATTATGATTGTTTCTGTTTTTGTTATCCTGATTTCAAAGCCCGAATAGAGGCTTTCCTGTAAACCCGAGAAGGAAGCAACTGTTGTTATTGAGTGAATAAAAGAGTATTTTAACCCTTCTCGAGTCTACGCTGTCTGCGAAAACTCAGCAATAAGTCGTCACTTAGTTCACTAAGTTCCTCGATATTTTATTATAGGCAAGAGAGTAAGGAACTTATAAGCTACAAAACTGCACGCATTTTGCAGAAGTTTAATATTGGAACAGCTTTTATTTTTAATCTCAGGTATAGAATTCGCTCTTTCATGCTTCAAGACTACGTTCTG